GGGGATTTACCAGGCTCGAGCTCCCCAGCTCCCTTTGCCCTTCCCCAGCACTGCTCTGGTTCAGGTACCTTGCTCCCAGGCAGCTAGCCCTTCCCACTCCAGGGCTAGAGTGAGACTCCCTCAACTCCTGGCCCCCAGCCCTCTTATATGGGCCAGCTGGGCCCTGATTGAGCTGGCCACAGCTGTGGCTGCTTCCCCCAATCAGCCTAGCTTTTCCTAGCTGCAGCCCTCTCCAGGGCTGCTTTTAGCCCCTTCAGGGCCTGAGTGGAGTGACCACCCCACTACATACCCACTTTTATAATGGGTTACGCTAACGCCCCCTATACCTCATGCATATGCAATAGAGATTTCAGCCGCTTTTCCTTATCTACTGTGACAAAGTTCCTCTTCTGCCCTGGTGGGTCCTGTGATTATTGGCAGATTTGCTTACCTCAGAGGTTCACGGCAGCTTTGAGTTTGGCTGCTTCTGCTAGTGGCTCAAACCTGCCGTTCACTCAGCTAACCTCATCACTGGCCAACATGGGAAAAAGGAAGAAGAACAATCCCCGCAGTCTCTGCTAATCCATCATGTGTGTTGGGGAACAGCCCAGAGACCTTCCCCTTTGGTGGAACCCACAGTCCAGGTCGACTCCTCCTGTGTCTGATCAGGAGTCAGGAGGTTTGGGGGGAACCCAGGCCCGCCCTCTACTCCGGGTTCCAGCCCAGGGCCCTGTGGACTGCGCTGTCTAGAGTGCCTCCTGGAACAGCTCCATGACAGCTACAACTCCCTGGGCTACTTCCCCATGGCCTCCTCCCAACACCTTCTGTACCTCATCATAGGACCATCCTCCTGGTGTCTGATAATGCTTGTACTCCTCAGTCCTCCAGCAGTACGCCTTCTCACTCTCAGCTCCTAGTGCCTCTTGCTCCCAGCTCCTCGCACGCACACCACAAACTGAAGTGAGGTCCTTTTTAAACTCAGGTGCCCTGATTAGCCAGCCTGCCCTAATTGATTCTAGCAGCTTCTTAATTGACTCCAGGTGTCCCAATTAGCCTGCCTGCCTGCATTTGTTCCAGCAAGTTCCTTTTTGTTTCAAAAAACTGCCCCGTTACCTTACCCAGGGAAAATGGACCTGCTTAATCTGGGGCTAATATATCTGCCTTCTAATACTTACCTGGCAGGGGAGATACCAGGATCATGAAGGCGGTTTTCCCAGGGTGAGGCTTATCCATTGCACTGCAGGTGTGCTGACCCCTGCAATTTCCCCAACTGCGGGAAACTCGACTGCATAATTTGTGGTAGTGGGGGACTGCATTCGTGCTGTCCCCTGGGAAACAAAACAAAACAACTCTCCTGTAGCTATCTGTCCTGACCCTGTCACACCACCCTGCCTCACCCTACTAATATTGGGGGGCTCTTCTCCCATAGGTTACTAGGCCATTAACTTCAAGCTTAGTAGCATGTGCGTTAGTTAGTTACTGTGGCATTATTTTGTGGCTGAACGTCTGCTGATGCTCCTACCATAAAATATCCAAAGCTGGTACAAACTGTTGTCTTGTGATTACCTGTCAGCAGTTCAGCAGCACTGAATGGAGCATTCTGACTGGTGACATCTGTGATACAGGATCACTGCTGTCTTGTGGCACCTTATGATAGACGGTCACTTCCTGGTTAGTTGCTTATGTTAAGTCTTTAGGCCTTAGGGCTCAGTTAGCTTAGTTAAGCTATTGTCCGACAGACTTAAGGCGTGCTAGAAAAACTCCACGGCCCACCTGTGCCACGATAACTGGTTTTCTGCATATAAAAGCCAGGGACGGCATTAGGGGGTAGCGAGCAGGACAATTGTCTGGAGCCCCATGCCACAGGGGCCCCCGCGAAGCTACATTGCTCCCACCAAATTTTCCCCTTGGGTGCTCCAGCCCCGGAGCACCCAAGGAGTCGGCGCCTAAGGTGCCACTTTTGGCCAGTTAAATTTAGAAGGCCCTCGTGGAACAACCGGTTCTAAAAGGGCTTCTAAATTTCACAACTGGTTCTAGCGAACTGGTGTGAACCAGCTCCAGCTCACCACTGCCTCTACCCCAATATAACGCGGTCCTCGGGAGACAAAAAATCTCACCGCGTTATAGGTTATATCAAACTTGCTTTGGCCCCCCCATTCCTTGTTCCCTGACCGCCCCCTCCAGAGACCCTTGTCCCTAATCACCCCCAGGATCCTACCCCCTACCCAACCCTCCTGCTCCCTGTCCCCTGACTGCTCCGACCCCTATCAGCACCCCCCGCCCCCTGACAGGCACTCGCTGGCAGCAGCAGGAGGCGGAGCAAGGCGGCCCCAGCCCGCTCCACTCTGCCACCTCCCAGCCGCGGCGCTCCGCTTCCACCGCCGGTGACTGCAGGGAGGTTGGGGAAAGGACACACTCCGCACTCACCGGCAGCGGGAAGCAGAGCGACGTGGCCCCAGCCCGCTCCGCTTTCCTTGCCCAGGCCCCAGCCGTGTCGCTGGGGTGGGGGGTTGGGGAAAGGTCCCGCACTCGCCTGCGGCGGGAAGCGGAACGCCGCGGCTGGGAGCTGGCGGAGCGGAGCAGGCCGGGGCAAGGCTGCTCCGCTTCCACCGCTGCCGGTGAGTGCGGGGGGGATCCCTTCCCCCAAGCCCCCTCCCCCGAGCGACAGGGCTGGGGACGGGGCGAGGGAAGCGGAGCGGGTTGCTCCCGGCCCCCCGCTAATCCCCCGGGCCACTCTGGGACTGCAGGGCCCCCAAAAGTGCCTCCCCACCGCTCCTGCCTCCCAGAGCCTGGTGGTGGGCGGGCGGGGGGGGTGGCTACATCAGAAACATCAGCCTGTGGCTACATTCACTCTTCTGTTGATTCTGTCTGTGCCTTCCAAGGGAGTGTGTTCAGGGGCAGATGCCGCTGGGGAAAACCTTGGTAGAGTGGCTCCAATGAAGCTGTGCTGAGGAGCCAGGGATCCCAGAGCTGGTACTGGGCTCCCCGGCGTCTGGGCTAAGAACCACTGGCCGTGCCATGAGGAAGAATTGGGGGCAAATCCGGCGCCCCAGTGGAATAATCCAAGTTAAAACTCCACGAGGGGATGCTGTGGAATCTCTGCCCTCCGAATCCTCTCCCCAGCTGCCATATCCCCAGGAGTGGTAATCCAGACTCATGAAGGTTGCATCCACATAGGTAGCTGAGAGCAGAACTTGACTTCATGGAAGTTCTGACTGTGTAATGACCACAGGATTCGGCCCCGCCTCACTTCCCGAGCTAGAGGCAAGTGATGCAAACCACTCTCTCATGGGCAGGGGCCTGTGGGCAAAGAGCCGTGGGTTCAGGCCACGTGGCTGCAGAAATGGGCTGCACTCTCCCTCTGCCTCTGCTGCGTAGTTTAAACGTTGCTTGGATTTTTAAGCTTTGCCAACATTTCAAAGTCCTGCAGGGGAACCCCTCCTCCACCCTGTGTACTAGCGTGGCTGCTCCGGTCCTCCTGGCCTTCCCACGCGTGTTGGACTGACGGGTTAGTAGGTAAAAGATCCATTGCCGTTCAGAACATGCCCCGCTAGGTCCCTGTGACTAGCACCGGGAGCTCAGCTACTGAACGGTCACTGAATATGTTTAACTTTAAAGCCCCTGGGCAGGATGGAAAGTTGTTCCTAAAGGTGCTTGTGAGCCAGTAAACAAGCCTAGGACAGCGGGAAGGCGTGGGGCTATTATTAGACCTCACTTGTTCCCTGCTATGGTGCTATCACCCTGTCCCTCTGTGCAGCCGTTAGCAACCTCGGTGCTGATCTCCCCAAGCTTGAGAAATAGGGGCAGGCAGGTCAATCCCCGGCATTCACAGTAAAATGACTCTGATGGAGTTCCTGGCCTCTGTCGCTTTTTGCACTGAGCTGAGCTCTCGATACCTTTTCAGGAGCCCGTTGCTTCAGGACATGACCTGAGCACATGTGTGTCCTGTAGGGCGACACACTGGTTACCCCGTGAAATCATGCCCTCGAGGGATGACGTTGCGTGGCTGTGTGTCCCTGCTGGGCTGTTGCGAGTTGATGCAACAGTGCAGCCTGGTGCTGTGTTGTCCTAGGATAATAACTATACCTCATGTTTATACAGCACCTTTTATTTCATGCTCCCAAAGTAATTTCCAAACGTTAAGTCCCACAACACCCCTATAAGCAGAGGCCACAGTGAGTCAGCGGCAGAGCTGGGAATAGAAGAACCCAGGAGTCCTGACCCCCAGTCCAGTGCTGCAACCATTACACACACACGCTCGGATCATCTAAATGCAGGACCCCATGATTGTCCTCCAAGGTGGCAGGACAGACCCATGGAAATCAGGCCTATCCCATGCTACTTCTAGAACTGTGGATGTAAATACTTCCAGCCCAGTTGTAGCTTTTAGCCATTGCTCAATGTTGTGGGATGGTTCTGAGTTGTCCCACCCTAGCAGGGGCCCTGGCAGGTTTTACCTCTCACAGGGAGCCACTGCCTTCAAGACCTCCACAGCAGCTGTAAGGGGGAGTCTGCCCACCCCACCGCTAGACCCCTTCAGTACCATCATGCCTCTGGGCAGAGCCACTTCCTCTGCCCCCTTAGGTGGGGCTAGCAGGAAGTAGCCTTTGTGCTCAGGACGGGATCCTTGCAGAGAGGTTCCCTGTGGCCATCTGCCTCTGCAGCGGCTGGGCACAGCCTGGCCCCTAAGATGGTATCTCTGAGAGAGCAGGTGGCCCGTGGAGCTATGTCCCTGTGTGTCCTGCTGCCCAGTGCTGTAACTTGGTGGCCTCATTTAAATACAAACAACTGTGCTCTGGCTTGCATGGGAGCGGTTGTCAAGGAGGTTGTCAGGGAGGCTGACATCAGAGATCCCGTCCCTATAGATTATTGTACAGTGGCAGGATCTGTTCCTCATCTGCAAATGAGACAAGAGGGCACCCAGAGGAAACCCTGAGGGCACTTTGCGTCATTGACCCAGGTTGCCTAGCACCGCTGGGACCGGGGAGGGAGGGCCGATTGGCTTCGGATTTGCATTTTCCTAGGATGGCCTGTTGGAGAGTCAAACAGTGCTGAGAACTGAGCCGGGGAGGAGAGAGGCAGAGGCGATGGCTGGCCACGCGTCGGAGCTTGAGTTCCCCTTCGTCCAGGACGTCCAGCTCACCAAGTGCATGCGGCTGCGGGCACAGAGTCTCCAGCAGAGGAACGAGCGGCCGCAGGATGGCGAGAAGCTGCTGCGGCCCAACGAGTACATCTACAGGGTGGATTTCGTCCAGCAGCACAATCTGTACTTCCTGCGCTGGAAGATCCAGATGGAGAAAGCGGGGAAGGTGACGGTGATGGGCACCTCCCAGCACTGGACGCCCGACCTCACCAACCTCATGAACAGGCAGCTGCTGGAGCCAGTGGGCATCTTCTGGAAGCAGCCAGGGACCAAGGAAGTGGAGTGTAACGAGGCGGATGCCCAGGAGTTCGGGGAGAGGCTGATGGAGCTGGCCAAGATCCGCAAGGTGATGTACTTCCTCCTCTCCTTCACCGATGGCCTCGACCCAGCCCACCTCAAGTGCTCTGTAGTGTTCAAAGCCTGATCGATCCCATCCGGGGCAGATCCCACACCTCTTGCCCCCAACCTCTTCATGTTTCCGTCTCTTCGCTTCGATTCAGTGATTGGTCATTTCTTTTAAAGGGACAGCATGACAAAAAATGTGCCGTGTTGATTCGCAGCCGGCAGTCATGGTTTGAGAATAGGCAGGTGACTATAACGCTGCCCCGGCTGCTCCCCACTGTGCCGGGAGACTTTCCCCAGCAGGTTGTGTCTTGTGGCTGGCTGGATGGAGAGGACGGTTGCTTTAGTAACCTGGAATGCAGTATTGCATGCAGTTAATTCAGCTGTGCAAGGTGAGCTGTTTGACTGGCAGCCTGCTGAGATGGGGACGAGCTGACTTGAAAGCTGTGGGCCTGCCCTGATCAAACCTGACCGACTGCCTTACATAGAAGTTAAAGGTCTCGTGGAAATATTAAGGATCTCTACTGCATGTCGTCGTGTGGAGTAAGGAAGGTGACGCAGACCAGCGCTCTGAGCTCCAGTCTCAAGGCCATCATTTTCAAACGTGTCAGGTGACTTTGGATACCCAGCTTTCCAGAGACTTGTTTTCAGAGGAGCTGAACGTCTGCAGCTCACGTTGACCTCAGCTGGATCTGTGGAGCTCAGTACCTCTGAAGATCATGCCCCAGGGAGTCTCGGGGTGCCCCTCACGCCCTCACCTAATGCATCGGAAATCAATGGCCACTTTTGCAAATTTCAGGCCTGCTGGTCAAACCCCAGTGAGGACTTCAGGCTTTGGACCCATGTTAACGTCAGCAGCTCATCTGTTCCCTAGTGCACAGAGAGTAACTCTCACGGTGCATTTGCCTTGCTGTGGTACAAATTGAACTCGGTGACAATGTGCTGCCTGAGGATGTTATGTATTGAAAACAGTTGGAAGATCAATCTGCTGCAGTGTGCCGAGCTAAGAAAGTTATAGGGGCAGAGCAAAGGTTTCTGAGAAGAGTTTAACCCTGTGTAGCTCTGAGCCAGATGTGGGTCTTCTGCAGTGTTCTTCCTTTGTAGAGTACAGTACAGGTGTGTGATCTCTCCAAGCTCACATAGAAATATATTGGTTATTAGTTATTTACCTAGGGCTGTAAGCTTGCCTAGTGCTTTACAAGTGGTAGAATAAGAAACTTCCCTTGCACCAAAGAGCTTACCACCTAAGGGACTGATACTGCTAATGCTTCCTGCCAGGCATAGAGCTTTGTAGGGGGTGTCGTCACATGCACCATGGTCTGGTGTATAGGCTATGTGGGTGGAAGCTGGAGACCTGGGTTCTCTTCACAGCACTACCATTGTGCAGGTTGGTGTGTGAACTTGGGCAAGTCACTGAACTGCTCCGTGCCTTAGTTTCCCCTCTGTGAAAGAGGTGATGATATGGACCCTCTTTTGTAAAGCAGTTTAAGAACCACCACTGAAAAGTGCTGTGGAAATGCTAAGTACATGCTACTCTTTGTCCCATCGTCCTGAACAGGATTACACCTGAGCGTGTTTGCAGGACAAAGCACTAAGAGTTGTTCCGGGGTATATATTATGTCATTGCATGAAAAACAAACCCACCTCAGCTCAGTTCTCATGCTTTGATCTTACCCAAAGTTCATCCTTATTTTTATAGCTGATATATACAAGCTTCCCTGTGCAGGGGATGGGGAAAGCTCATTTCTTTGCCAAAGAGAGGCTCTGAACTGCAAGGCGACCGTGGAAGCAGCTGGAGTGGCAGCCACGACGTGCGCAGCAAAGGAGTGGGGCCGGAAGGCAGGCAGATGTGCCTGAGGGTCACGCAAGCTGGTGAGATAGCGTCAGACACGTGCAGAAGACAGCTCCCTTGCCTGTGGTACCAGAGGGGCGTGGGTCTTTTCAGGAGAAAACAACAACATGGCCGGTGCATTCTTCTGTGCTGTCACTTTTATTTGTTTGGCTCTCTCTGTCTCTGTTTAGAGCCGTTGCCTGAAGAAAACGAGGCACCGGGTGATCAGGAATAGCAGTTTTTCCTATTCCCTTTTGTCACAAAACGTAGCAACTTTGGGCCAGATTTTGCTCTGGTATTTTAACAGGAACCTTCCACCGAAACCACCCCCACACATCCCAGAGCAGAGTTTGGCTCCTGGCCTGAAATGCCACATGGGCCAATCAGACTGTCCCAGCACTAGCCATTACCGAAATCGCTGTTATGAGTCGTCAGGACACTTGAACAGTAATTCATTGTTTGTGTCTCACCGCCTGTGTCGAGTTCATGCTGCGCTTATCCTGCTGGGTATGTATTTGTGTACAGTGGAAAATAAAAGCCCTTAAGGAATGAGGTTGGATGTGTCTCCCTCTGACCTAAAATGGCCTGGTTTTACACACAATAAAGGAGAACCCACACATCTTCACCCCATTTTTAGGTGTCTTCCTCTCCCCCCCCCCCCCCCCCCACACACACTGAAGAGCTTAAGATCTGTAAAATGTAATAACTTCATTCCTGGAGTGAGCTGTGGAGCTGGATATTTAACTGCTCATGTAGCTGTTGGGTGAGAGAGAGAATGTTCTGATTCCTCGGTGTATCTCAGATCGACATCACCGTTTGGGGGGAAGGGACATTAGCCAACCTCCATGCCCCTGGAGCAGTACCAGCGTACAGTAGCCGAGGGTCTGGCCTCATTACTGAAACTGACCTTCTGCACAGGGGTGAGCAGAAAGTCCAGAGCGCTCCTTTATCCTCAGAAAATGGCTTAAGTGATGCACCAGCCTTTCTGCACAGAGATGGGCTTCACCTGGTTTGTATGTAGGTCTCATGACAGGCACAGCTTGGGTCTCCCTCCTTGGGAGTCGGGGAGGTCCCCAGAGAGAACCCCACTCTTTGCCTCCTGTTAAGGAAATGATGTCTCTGAGTTCTCCCCCCCACAGGACCATTCTTCCCAGTCACAGATGCCTCGTTTCTTAATTGGCATTTACTGTTTAAAAAAAAAAAACAATTCCCCAAGCTCTCCTGAAAATCAGACTCGGAGCTGTGTGGTTATTGTGCCTCTGCTTTCCTTCGTTGGAGCCCTTTGTCAGTCATCCCCCCCACACTGAGTGTTGCGTCCTTGGAGTCTGGGGGCTCCTTGAATCGAGGCACAGAGATGAGCTCCCACAGCACCCACTCATTCCCACAGTCCTGTCCCAGCCTGCCCTGGGCTCAATGGAAAACCTGGGGTGGATTCTCTGGGGCTGTCTCTTCTCGTGGTTGTTCCAAAGTCGTGGTTAGGAAGAGATGTTACAAGGGCATGAATGGGACCTGGTGGATCAGTGGTGTGTACCCACCATGTTGTGTCCTCCCATGGGATTCTTGTGGGCTATGAGATAAATCAAATCACTTCACAATGTACAAACGCCGTGCAGCCCTGCCCGCACTACATACACCACTGTGCTTTTGTGACCATTGTGTGACTCTCTCACTTGACCCTCTTGCAGCAAATATGGCCTGGGCTGGGCCTTCTCCGCTGTCACTGAGCTGTGTGCACATACCTGCCACCCTGTGCTTGGAGCAGTGCCTCCTGGGAATTCCAGGGGGCTATCCCATGGAGTGGCTTGCATTCTGGGCTGGTGTATGACACAGCGAGCCAGGAGGGCTGGCTAAACATGTCTACAACGCACAAAGTAAATGGTGAGCGGGGTGGTGGCCATGTGTCCACGCCTCTGTCAGGATGAACCAGGGCTAGCTGCCCTGGTTACTAAGGAAGTAGAAACCCGGTGGTCTGCAGATCATGGAGGTGTTTGTAGCGACTCCATGGTTCTGGTTCTCCTGGGATTTGCTCTGAAATCCCTCTGAGCTGCGCTTTAATGACTGAAGTTAGGCTCCAGGTTTGGCATCACAATCTGTGCTGTTTTGTTAGTGAAGTAGCTACCGGTGCTTGCAAGAGGCAACGTTTTAAAATGCTCCTTTTTGAAAGTTTGCCTTATTTCGGTAGCTTTCTCTGGCTGAATAGCTCCAGTCCCCATGAACGCCATGCGTCAAATGCCGGTGCTTATTCTGATAACATCGCACACAGAGACCGTGGAGGCAAAACCGGGCAGCTGGGTGCATGGAGGTGGGTTGTGGGGAGAGATGGGACTCTGGGGAGAGGGGGATGAGCAGGGATGGGGGGCACAGCAAGTGGGGGCAGTGACAAGGTTAGCGGGGCACAGTGGGGAAACAGGCTTGTGTGTGGGTGAGGCTGGAGAAGCGGGGGGAGGGTCTGTGGCTGGGCAAGGAGCCTGGAGCAGAGGGAAGGCCAGGGGCCCTGCATCAAACGCCTTGGCGCAGCGCCATACGAACCAACCAGGCATTGACACATCAAGAGCCACCGACGCCCCTACTTCCTCGATGCACTGAGGAGATAAGGAAGGGATCCCCATTGTGCTACTTCAAGTGGAAATGCCTTGGCACAGAAGTGCTGGGCTTCCCTCGCTGTCTGCATAACACTGATTTACCCCAACAATCCCTCCTCCCCCCACCTCTGATCATCGCACCGTTCTCCCCTCTGTCCTCCTGTGACGGGGTGGGACTCACCACTGCGGTGCCCCCTGCTGGCTGTCCTGGGATCAGCTTTGCTAGCCAGTGCGCCCTCTTCTGGTGGCATCTTGCCACCACCACATCTGCTCCTGAGACCCAGGTCACTCCTAGGACCGCAGCATCCTCTTCGTGACACAGCCTTCTGGCTGCACCGCACTCTGTGCTCCCCCTTTCTGGGGGAATGTCGCAGTCCCTTAGTCCAGCCACTCCTCAATGGCAAGTGGGGACAGCGGGCAGGAGGGAATCCAGGCCAGTCCACTACTCCAGGTCCCAGCCTAGGGACCCTGTAGATAGCTGCTACTTGCAGCGCCCTCTCCAACTCCTCAGTAGATTTCCCTGGGCCACTTCCTCACGGCCCCAGCACCCTCTTTGCCCCTTACCTCAGGGCCTAAGCCAGCAAATCCCTGCAGCCCCCCAGGAGCTGCCTTTAGCTCCTTTGGTGTCTGCCTACAGCACTGCTCTGTCCAGGGTGCTTGCTGCCTTTAGCCTGCAAAGCAGCCAGTTCTCCTCCATTCTCAAGCTCCAGGGAGTGACTGAAGCTGCAACCCTTCTTATATGGGCCAGCCAAGCCCTGATTGGCTGCTCCTTGTAGCCCCTCTCTGATTGGCTGCCTCCTGTGCAGCCTCCCGAGGGCTCTATTAACCCCGTAGAGCCCAGAGTGGGACAGGTGCCCCATCACACCCCCATACACACCCAGCTTTCCCAACAGCTCCACTTCACCCAATCTCCATTCCCCCAGCACAACAAGTAGACATATTGGGTCACAGTTCAGCCTGCTAGCTTTTCTCAGCCTTGTTCGTATTATTATTATTTATTTTTATTATTGTAGCGCCTAGGAGCCCCAATCATGGACCAGAACTCCATTGTGCCAGGTGCTGTACAAACACAGAACACAGAGACAGCCCCTGCCCCAAAAAGCTGACAGTCTAAGAATAAGGCAAATGTCAACAGATGGGGGGAACAAGGAAACAATGAGACAATACCGGTCAACAAGGCACTATTTCACTACTCCCCTGTATGTAAGTAATGAGCTAAACTAGGAGCCCATCTCCAGTCAGAAATCTCAGCCCCTTGTCGACCATGACGAAGCCCTCTCCACAGTGACCTTTAGATTTGCTGTCCTGCATGAGGAATGGTCACATTTTCTAATCTATATTCACTATTATTAATCTTTTAAAAATAATTAAAACATTTTTCCCTCCAAACTTCTTCTTTAGTATAGCTATTATAGTAGTAGCTAGGAACCTCTGTCATAGAATCATAGAATATCAGGGTTGGAAGGGACCTCAGGAGGTCATCTAGTCCAACCCCCTGCTCAAAGCAGGACCAATCCCCAACTAAATCATCCCAGCCAGGGCTTTGTCAAGCCTGACCTTAAAAACCTCAAAGGAAGGAGATTCCACCACCTCCCTAGGTAACGCATTCCAGTGCTTCACCGCCCTCCTAGTGAAAAAGTTTTTCCTAATATCCAACCTAAACCTCCCCCACTGCAACTTGAGACCATTACTCCTTGTTCTGTCATCAGCTACCACTGAGAACAGTCTAGATCCATCCTCTCGGGAGCCCCCTTTCAGGTAGTTGAAAGCAGCTATCAATCCCCCCTCATTCTTCTCTTCCACAGACTAAACAATCCCAGTTCCCTCAGCCTTTCCTCATAAGTCATGTGTTCCAGTCCCCTAATCATTTTTATTGCCCTCTGCTGGACTCTTTCCAATTTTTCCACATCCTTCTTGTAGTGTGGGGCCCAAAACTGGACACAGTACTCAAGATGAGGCCTCACCAATGTCGAATAGAGGGGAACAATCACGTCCCTCGATCTGCTGGCAATGCCCCTACATATATATCCCAAAATGCCATTGGCCTTCTTGGCAACAAGGGCACACTGTTGACTCATATCCAGCTTCTCGTCCACTGTAACCCCTAGGTCCTTTTCTGCCGAACTGCTGCCGAGCCATTCGGTCCCTAGTCTATAGCGGTGCATGGGGTTCTTCCGTCCTAAGTGCAGGACTCTGCACTTGTCCTTGTTGAACCTCATCAGATTTCTTTTGGCCCAATCGTGTAATTTGTCTAGGGCCCTCTGTATCCTATCTCTACCCTCCAGCGTATCTACCACTCCTCCCAGTTTAGTGTCATCTGCAAACTTGCTGAGGGTGCAATCCACACCATCCTCAAGATCATTTATAAAGATATTGAACAAAACTGGCCCAAGGACCGACCCTTGGGGCACTCCACTTGATACCAGCTGCCAACTAGACATGGAGCCATTGATCACTACCCGTTGAGCCCTACAATCTAGCCAACTTTCTGTCCACCTTATAGTCCATTCATCCAGCCCATACTACTTTAACTTGCTGGCAAGAATACTGTGGGAGACCGTGTCAAAAGCTTTGCTAAAGTCAAGGAACAACACGTCCCCGGCTTTCCCCTCATCCACAGAGCCAGTTATCTCATCATAGAAGGCAATTAGATTAATCAGGCATGACTTGCCCTTGGTGAATCCATGCTGACTGTTCCTGATCACTTTTCTCTCCTCTAAGTGCTTCAGAATTGATTCCTTGAGGAACTGCTCCATAATTTTTCCAGGGACTGAGGTGAGGCTGACTGGCCTGTAGTTCCCCGGATCCTCCTCCTTCCCTTTTTTAAAGATGGACACTACATTAGCCTTTTTCCAGTCGTCCGGAACTTCCCCCGATCGCCATGAGTTTTCAAAGATAATGGCCAATGGCTCTGCAATCACATCCGCCAACTCCTTTAGCACTCTCGGATGCAGCGCATCCGGCCCCCATGGACTTTTGCTCGTCCAGCTTTTCTAAAGAGAT